GCCTCTCCCTTTCTTTTTCTCCCAGTGTAATCCTTTTTTCAGCCCTTAATCTTTTTGTATCACATCAAAGTCAACTTATACTCCCCCCCTTTGTCTATGTATACTTTTTCTAACTGCCCTAATAGAGATAACAGTTCTCGAGAGTTACAAATATCATCTTCCTGTATAGGGAAGTAAATATTTTAATCTTATTCATTAACATGTTTTTTTTTCCTTTCCCATTTATAGTCTTGAAATTTCTTCTGCCTCGTGTGTGTGTGTGTGTGTGTGCGTGTGTACTGGCAGTGTCTCATAACCTACTTCTATAGGCTATGCCTTTTCCTATCACCTTTTAGATTATTTGTAATGTAGGGATGAAGAAGAGGATTGCAAGTATGGGAGACTCCCTTTGCAAAGAATAGAGCCAGGAGATAAAGGACAACAGCTGGGGAGGCTGGAACATAAAATACACCAGGGCAAGTGATAAAAGGTTATTCTGCAGATGTAGGGTGGAGCCAGACATTTCAATGTTACTGTGCACATCACTAAGGAGCACATTTAGGAGTTTTGTTAAGACCTACAAACTCCTCTGAAAAGAGATGCATTCAGAGCCCTTTCCCTCCCCTCAAGAATCCTATACTAATCTCACTTAGGCTGGTTTTCATGTCAGCAAATGGGTCTTGCTGTTTCTGTCTCACTTGATGTTACTTCTCAGAGGACAGTCAAATGAGGTTGTCTCCAGATTCACATGGGACATGCTTTGTCAGAGGGAAGCCTTTAAACCTGATTTTGTTTTATTTAATCACATTCTTTCCCAAAATCCATTAACAGAAAAAAACATAGCAGAATATTTTGGTCTCTCTACTCTTCAGACTGTTGTAGGGCCACAGTGATGGAATAAAAAAAGACAAAGATCTGGTTTTCTGTGCTCAAGGACACCCTCGTTGTGTACTTCGGTCACTTTATAGAAAACTCATGTTAATGAAAAAGCAGACCTCCCGCTAGCATGCCGCCATCTTCCCACTTGCCATTTTAGTAAATAGAGCAAGCACAATCTTGTGCTTTCTTTCGCTCTGTTGTATATTGAAAAATGGCTTGGATAAGTCTTTAAAATTGGGTCAACTGCGGCACAGATTTCTTCTCTGTATGTGTGCATGTGTGTGTGCATTACCCTAGCTCATGTTCCCAACTTCCTTGTCTTAAGGGCAATCACTGTTTCCTTCCATAGCACATCAGTTACAGACTGTCTGGAGTCCACATGTAGGGGTCCTGCTGTCATGGACAGGACAACAGGCCCCTCTGAGAGCACTGACCATTCTGTTCCATCTCACATTAGGTTAGTAGTAGCTAACATGTATAAAGCACCTGCTATGTCCCAGGCACTATGCTAAGTGATTTACAGTTATTATCTCATTTGATCCTTACAACAACCCTGGGAGGTAGGTGTTATCATCCCCATTACAGATCAGAAAACTGAGGCAAAGAGAAGTTAAGTGACTGAAGCTGATGACTTTGTACAGCTCTGCCTCACTTAAATCCAATTCATTTGCAAGTCAAGATATCAACCTCCTGGTGTCATTGATCCTCTTGGAGAACAAAGGACAAACAGCAACCATAACAACAGCTAGTCAGAGTCTGAGGCTAGATTTGAACTCAAATCTCCTGACTCCAGGTAAAATGTTCTATCAACATTGCCTCCTAGCTGCACGTAGTGGTTTGTTGCTTTGCCTTCTTTCTGGTTTCCATTGATAGATACTTGCAGGATGATCTGCCTCATTTAGATTCCCCACCCAGTTTTCTAAATTAAAACAACCTTGAGATATCGTTTTATACCCACCAAATTGGCTAAAATGACTGAAGGGGAAAACAACAAATGTTGGAGGGGATGTAGAAAAATTGGGACACTAATTCATTGTTGGTGAAATTGTGAACTGATCCAACCATTTTGGAGAGCAATCTGGAATTATGCCCAAAGACTTATTAAACTACCTATGCCCTTTGACCCAGCAATACCACTACTAGTTCTATTTCCAAAGATGATTAGGGGAAAAAGGAAAACAACCTATATGTTTTAAAATACTTATAGCAGCTCTCTTTGTGGTGGCAAAGAACTAGAAATTGCAGGGATGCCCATCAATTGAAGAATGGCTGAACAAGTTGTGGTATATGATTGTGATGGAATACTGTTGTGCTATAAGAAATTATGACCTCAATGATCTTAGAAAAACATGGAAAGGGGCCGCTAAGTGGAACAGTGGATAGAGCTCTGGCCTTGGAGTCAGGAGGACCTGAGTTCAAATCCAGCCTCAGCACTTGACACTTAACTAGCTATGTGACCCTGGGCAAGTCACTTAACCCCGATTGCCTCACCAAAAAGCAAAAAAAAAAAAACAAAAAACATGGAAAGACTTGCATGAAATAATGAAGATTGAAATAAGCAAAACCAAGAGAACATTGTATACAGCAACAGCAATAGGAATGAGTGAGTGAACAAGTTATTTGGCTATTATAAATATCCAAATTAACTATAAAGGACATATGAAGAAAATCACTATGTGCATCCAGAGAAAGAACTGATAAATAGAAGTATATGTAGAGTAATTTTACAAATGTGCATGTGAATGTGTGTCTATACGTGTGTATACCTATTTGTGTCTAATGGTAGCCATCTCAAGGGGAAAGTAGTGAAAAAAAAAGAAAATAAATAAAATTTACATGATAATGTATATTTGAAATGAATAGCAAGTTATGCTTAGTAGATGTGCAATTTTATGTACAATAATTTTTATTGCACTGTTATGAAAATGCTTGTTTTATTCCATAAATATGTATTAATATAAAAAATAAAAGGGAAAAAAGGTCTCAGCAGACATTTTCCCCTAAATAAAATCTTGATGTTTTATGAGGCAGGCCTGCAAATTCCAATCCCTCATCATTTTCCACCAGCATGTTTTGTGTGTTAGCTAATGAAATGGAAGTGCCCCCAGCTGCCACATTTCTCTCCTTAGTGGGGAGATCCAGCATTTGGAGAATGAGGTGGCTTCTGCAATCCATCTATTCTCACTGTGGTGACTGCTTTATATTAAACTAATATCAGAGTGAACATCTTTATTTGTGTCCATTTCCTATTTTGGGAAGTTGTTGACTTCCAGATGGGATTAGAATGGCTCTAATCACTTAAAATGTCTTCTCCTATTTAAGAACTTCCTCAAACAGAGTATTTACTTTGACCTTTGTTCAAAACAGTCTATCAACTACCTATGGATATGGCTTGGGATCCCTGGCTATGTCTGGAACCGGTTATTATCTACATCTGTTAAACTGTTCTCCATTTTCCTTTCTATGAGATTGTTCAGTGCTCACCATATTCAGCCCCTTCCAACTCTCAATGTTTTTTATACTGTGCAGAAATAAGACTGCTCAGTAATCTATGAACTAGAATCATTCATTTCTTGATCCTGAACCATATTTTTCACGACAGTTTTTGCTGTCTTCTCCTGTACCCATTTTCTCATTGGAATTGAGTATCAATGCATATGTCATCATCTCATCAATCAATGTCTTGTCTTTTCAAGTTCATCGTGGAGCTTCTCAAACACGTCATCATTACCTATCCAGGTTGCTTCTATGTTATTCCATCATCTTCATTCTTTACTTCAGCCCAAATGGCTATCCTGCTTTTCCCCATACATGCCATTCATCTCCCACTTCCGTGGCTTTGAACTTGTGTCTGTTCCCAATACCAGGAATGCTCTTCTTCCTCATCTCTTCTTGGAAACCCTAGGTCCCTTCACGGCTCAGCCCAAGTACCACCTCTTCTCGAAAAATCTCACCCTCAAATCGTTGTCAGACAGTCAACAGTCAATAAGGATTTCTCAAAGGCTTACTGGGTGCTAAGGTTCTGGGGGCAGATACAAATGCAAACACAGCCCCTGCCCTCACTGAGCTCACATTCTCATTCTAAGCTTTGCTGTGTATTATTTTTATGTAGCCCATGTGTATTATTCTGAACATGCCGTGTCCACGCAAACAGAATGCAAGCTCCTTGAGGGCAGGAGATGTCTCTTTTGTGCATTCATATCCCCAACCTAGCACAGTTCCACTTCTCTCTTTCTGGTCCCCTCAGAGGCATCCCATAGACCAAAAATATTTTTAAAGATAAAAATAACTTATTTTCTTTGTGAGCTCTGCAAAGCAAGTTCATCAAATAATCCCAAAGTTGCTTCTTCTTGCCTTTGGTTACACGATGAAACCAATTGTTCCCACTCCATCATTCACCTTTCTGGGGTGAACCCGAGAGCTGCCCTTCTGTTTAGCAATAAGGTTTTTCGTATATTAGTTTTCTCATTTCCCATTTAGCCAAAATGTCTCTATGAGTGTGACTCCTTCCTCCTGGGGGGCCCACCTGGCGGTCATTAGACCAAGGTCATACCTTGAGGCTCCAAGTCTCCAAAGTTAAGTGAACATTTTAATAGCTTGAGTTGTGAGATTCCTGAGCCTCTCTTCTTTTTTATCAACGCTGCTGTCATTGCAGAAGTGGAAGGAGATGGAGCGCACGGAGGCCCATTTTGTATTTTATGGTCATTTTGTGACTTGCCATTGTTGGAAAACAGAGGATGTTGGTGGGACCAGTGACTGAACACGCACTTCTATTGGGATGTAAAACTCCCTCTGCCAATGCAAATCAGCATCTTCTTGGTGGTATATGGAGGCTTGGAGAGTTATTTAAGACACAAAGAGCTTAGGAGACTTTCTCAGGATCACACAGCCAGGAAATGCCAGAAGTAGGACTTGAACTCAGGTCCTCCTGGCTGAAGGCTAGCGCTCTTTTCAATTGAAAACAATGGAAATTCACCTTAGTGATGGACCCTCCTTGATGAACATGTATATACACTCACTCAGAGTATGTCTTCCCATTCATGGCTTCCATTGAGGCTAATTTTGCTGTACATCCCAAGACATTTAAATTCCCAGGATTTAGCTACAAGCTGCTCATGGATTTTGGTTTTGCCTTCCCACAGACTCTAAGAGTAAATCTGCTAAGTTCATTCTATGCTGCTTCAAGTGCTGTTTCTGGTGTTTGGAAAAAGTCCTCAAGTTTATAAACAGAAATGCCTACATCATGGTAGGTAGTTGGTTTTGTGCCACTCGGGGCTCCATCATTACCACACTAGAGTCATGTGACAATGGCATTCAGAGAACAAGGACCTCCATTGGCCCTATTGCTTTTAGTCCCAGGGGAATCCTAGGGTTTAAAAATATCACACAAGGTTTGAGTATTTATTTACTTAATTTTATTCAATGATGCTTTTAATAATCATCCTTTAGAGAGCAAAGCTATACATTATATTTTCACTTGTGCCCAAACTGAGATTTTATGTTTTCTTGACCTGATTATGCGTATTAGAATATGTATATATATATGTATGTATGTATGTATGTACATACACACATATACATGTGTATATGTGCCAGGAGTGTGCTGGAGCCATCTTAAACCAGCCTCCACAAGTTAATTGTCAAGTTTTCAGCGTGAGCATTAATACCTTGAAAATTGGCAAAAAACAAATTGGGGTCTGATTTATCTCAGAATTCTCCATCTTCACTCCCCTCCCCAAACCATAGTTGGTTCTGATGAAATATTTCAGTTACTTCAGGTCCCCATAGATAGAACTGAACAGACCATAGAGATGATTCTCTAGAGCTGGGCTTCTTTACCTGGCAACCATGGTTCCCTGGAGAGATTTCAGAGGACCTGTGATTTGGGAAGGGAAAAAATGCATCTTTATTTTTGTTAAATTCTAGCTGAAATATAGCATTTTCTTTCATTAGGTAAGGGAAAGGAAGGGAATAAGCATTTATTAAGCACCTACAATGCGCTAGTCACTATGCTAAGTGATTTTTACAAATTTTATTTCTTTTGATCCACAACAACCCTGTGAGGTAAGTACTGTTCTTATCTCTATTTTATAGTTGAGGAAACTGAGGCAAAAAAGATCAAGTGCTTTCCAGGGTCATACAGCTAGGAAGGAATAGAGGCTAGATTTGAGCTCAGGCCTTCCTGACTCTGGGTCCAATGCTCTATCTCCTGTACCACCAGCTGTGGCATGATTACAATCATACATATGTATAATAAGTACAAATATAGACAAAAATATTATTCAAAGAAGGTTTTTGAGACACAAAAAGTTTAAGACCTGATTTAGATGATTTGGGGAAACAGGTCTGCTTTTCTCTGCAGTTCTGTGTAGATACAGCAGGGCTGGAGTTGGAGGACCTAGATTCCGAGGATCATGGGATATTATTAGGATGTGGAAGAAATCTCTGAGGTGATATAGCCCTTCAAGACCCTCATTGAACAGATGAGGAAATTGAGGCCCAGAGAGGATCCTAAGATCATAGATTTGGAGTTAGAAGGACCTTAAAGGACATCTCATCAAGCCCCCTTATTTTACAAATAAGGAACAGAGGCCTATGGATGTTGCAGCTTAACTAAGGACAAACAGATAAATAAGTGGCAGAATTAGGTTTCAAACTCCGGCTCTGCTATTTGTGATGTGTAATATTGGGCAGGTCACTCGCCCACTCTGGGCTTCAGTTTCTGCCCTAAAATGAGGACACTGAGTTAGATAACTGCTAAATCTATGGATTTCCAAACCTCTCTGAGCTCCAGTCTAGATCAGGGGTTTTTAACCTGGGGTCCATAACCTTGGTTGTTTTTTTCTTTTAAAAATATATTTTGAAATCCCTTGTTATCCCACATACTTAATTTTCTGCTTTTAAAACGTGTGATTTTGAGAAGGGTTTAATAGGCCCCATGCACCTGCCCAAGGAGGCCTAACACAAAGAGGATTAAAAAGCCCTCATCTTGGTTTCTGTCTGTGCACTGTATAGAGCATGCAGTCTCCATGGCCCCCAGCAGTGTTGTTGGCAGTAATGAACAGATGCCAACTTCAGGAACACCCCGTGCTTTCCCAGGACTCCCCCCCAAAACCCCACCAATCCCCACCAAGAAGGAAACAGGGAGGCAGTCATTGCTGATGGGCAGGCCATCTTCTCATGCCATCAGCCTCATCTCTGCTCTTCTGAGGGCATTGTTCTGACACAGAATATCACCTCATTTATGTTTGTTTGGTTTTTCTGCAGATTGCGATATATGGAGAAAACTTCTGCACTGCAGCCCGAAATGCTTTCACGCTTATAATGAGAAACGTGGTGAGGTCAGTAGGCAGATTTGATGCTAGAGATCTCCTTACAGTCAGTCAGGCAATAGGCGTTTGTAAAGTACCTATTATGTGCTAGGCACTGGTGCGCACATCAAATGTGTGTTGGAGCGGCTTTCTCGTTGACCAGTAATGCTTCCCCCAGGAGATTGCCTTCCATCTATTCTGTATGTAAATTGTATACCTACCTAATTACTTATATGCTGTCCTCCCCAATAGAATGTAAGCTCCCTGTGGGCAGGGGCCATCTTTGCCTTCCTTGGAACCTCCAACACTTAGCTGGCCCACATATGGGAAGCACTTAAAGATGCTTCTTGGTGGACTGATTGTCATTGCTGATGGAGACATTGTCAGTCAGTCAGTCTGTCAGTTTGTCAATCTGTCTGTCTGTCAGTCAGTCTGTCAGTTTGTCAGTCAGTCTGTACATCTGTCTGTCTGTCAGTCAGTCAACCTGTCAGTCAGTCTGTCAGTCAGCCTGTCAGCCAGCCTGTCAGTCAGCCTGTCAGCCAGCCTGTCAGCCAGTCAGTCAGACTGTCTGTCAGTCAGTCTGTACATCTGTCCATCTGTCCATCTGTCAGTCAACCTGTCAGTTAGTCAGTCAGTGTGTCAGTGTGTCAGTCTGTCAGTCAGTCAGCCTATCAGCCAGTCTGTCAGTCGTCCTGTCAGTTTGTCGGTCTGTCAGTTTGCCTGTCAGTCTGTCCTTCTGTCTGTCTGTCCGTCTGTCTGTCAGTCAACCTGTCAGTCAGTCTGTCAGTCAGTCTGTCAGTCTGTCCATCTGTCTGTCTGTCTGTCAGTCAGTCTGTCAGTTTTTCAGTCAATCAGCCTGTCAGTCAGCCTGTCCAATCTGTCATTCTGTCAGTCAGTCAGTCAGTCTCTCTGTCTGTCAGTCTGCCAGTCTGTCCATCTGTCCTTCAATCTATCAGTCAGTCAGTCAGTCTTTCAGTCAGTCAGTCATTCAGTTAGTCAACAAAGACTGAGCTCAGCTTATGTATGAGGCACTATTAGGCACTAAATAAGGTTGTGAGTTGAATAAGATAGTCCCTGCTCTTAGAATTTCCAATTCAATCAGGAAAATGACTCTCATTGCCATCCTCCTGCACACCCATTATTCCATTTCTATAATATTTTAAGGTTTGCAAAGCATTGTAGAAATGTTGCCATTTGTTCCTCACAACAGCCCTGGAAAACAGGTACTAGTGTTGTTATTACCATTTTAGAGGCAGAGAGACTAAGGTTGAGAGAGATTACATGATTTGCTTAGGGTCACACAGCTAGTAAGTGTCTGAGGCAGAACTTTAATGAAGGTTTTCCTGAGTCTTAAGTCTGGCATTCTGTTGACCATGCCAGCTAGGAAGATGCACACACAATAACTTGCCTACAGAACTCGGCCATCTGGATGTCCCATTGACACACCACACACAACATGTCCCAAACCAAGTTCATGTCTTTCCCGCTCTTTCTATCTGTGGTGCCACCAGTCATGCCATCATCCATTTCAGAAACCTTGGAAGAGATTTTTGACCTTTCTTAATCCTCCCTAGCTTATATAACTAGTTCCCAAGTCCTATTGCAATATATTTTGCATTCACCCCCTCCTCTCCATCCCCACTGACACTATATAGTTATCATTCATGGTTTCTTGAAATCGAGCTCTAGAAAACCAGGCTTTGATAAAACCCGTTGGTATTCAAATGGAGCTACCAAATCACTCTGGCTCTCACTGATGGGCCAATAATAGGTTCCAGCCCAAGCAACACTTACACGTTGTTTGGGTTTTGATGGCTCAGAGCAAGTATAAATAGCAATTGTTTCTGTTTTGGCTATCAACATAAGGCTTCACTAGCAGACCCAAGGATATGACATAGACTTTCATCAAAACCCACTCATAAACTCTGGTCCCCTTTCCCTCTTTCCAGAGCTATTAAGCCCCTGGTTCCAGGATGCATAAATTTGCTTAGGCCTCAGCAGTCAGCTTGGCCACAACCCTCTGGAAGCAAAAGCCTGCCAGGAGAAGAAACCCTAGCTACAAAGCTCTGAACTGGTAGTGCTAGAGAAAGTAGACTCCAAAATGCTAATACCAGGTCAGAGAATTGAGGAACAGAGGGAGACGGGCAGGTCACCAAGGCAGAATACCATGCATGTAGGGCCTGTGTGGCATTCTACCATGCTTGAAGGCCAAGACCTAGGCTAGGAAGTTGTAGGTTAAGACTCTGAGATGTAGCCCCCAAGGAAACCACAATCAGAGGGGAGGCAGTCAGGAAGTGAGTGATAAAGGATATTATGGGGGAAGAGGAGAGAGGAGAATTGAAAGTACCAAAGATGTAAGGAGGAGGAAATCTCAAAACCTGGAACACAGACAGATACCTCAACAGGAAAAATACTCTGGATCAAATAAAAAAATCATAGAAATTATTAAGAATGATAATGATGAAACTATATGCCAAATTTCTGGGATGTAGCCAAAGTAGTGTTATGTAGGGGAAATCATATCCTTACAAATATACGGTAATAAAATAGAAAGATAATTATTGAACTGAATATGTATTTTAAAATTAGAAAACAACACATGAACAAACAAAAAGCACAAAAGAAAATATATTAAAATTGGAGGGGAAATAAATTAATTGGAAACAGAATAACATTTTCCATCATGAGTCTTTCGGAATTGTCTTAGATCATTGTATTGCTGAGAAGTGCTAAGTCTATCAGAATTGGTCATCACACAGTGTTGCTGTTACTGTTTACAGTGTTCTCCTGGTTCTGTTCATTTCACTCAGCATCAGTTCATGTAAAGTCTTTCCAAGTTTTTCTGAAATCTACCTGGCCATCATTTCTTCTAGAACAATAGTAATCCATTATATTCATATACCACAACTTATCTAGTCATTCTCCAGTTGATGAGCATCCTCTCAATTTCTGATTCTTGGCCACCACAAAAAGAGCTGCTTATAAATATTTTTGTACGTGTGGGCCTTTTCCCATTTTTTATGATCTCTTCAGGATACAGACCTAGTAGTGGTATTGCTGAATCAAAGGGTATGCACATTTTTTATAGCCCTTAGGGCATAGTTCCAAATTGATCTCAAGAATGGTTGGATCAGTTCACAACTTCACCAACAATTAGTGTTCCAATTTTCCCACATCTTCTCCAGCATTTATCATTTTTCCTTTTTTGGCATGTTAGCCAATCAGATAAGTGTGAAAGTTGTTTTAATTTGCATTTCTCTAATCAATAGTGATTTAGAGCATTTTTTCATATGACTATAGATAGCTTTAATTTCTTCATCTGCAAACTGCCTGTTCATATCCATCCCAATACATTTTAAATGAATGCATGATCTTATGTTAAATATCAAACTGTTAAAAAAAAATAGAAGAGAAAGATCACATGCCTCCCATGGCTATTTGTAAGAGATGTGCTGACAAGAGATGGACACACTTACAAAAATAAAATCATTAACTTTGAGTACTTGCAACTGAAAAGCTTCTGCACCAATGACATGAATGCATATGGGACAAGAAGGGAAGTGTCAACTAGGGGGAAAGCTCTCTGTATCAGATTTATCTGACAAAGGCTTTGTAGCAAAATATACAAATCATATGTGCACACACATACAATATCCATTCTCCAACACATTCACGGTCAAAGAATTTGAAGAAATGTTTCTCAGAAGAACTGTAAAATATTCACAACCACATGAAAAAGTACTCCAAGTCAGTAGTAAGGGAAATGCAAATCAATCTGACCCTGAGGCTTAGCAAGGAGGTTTGCAAATTGGTAAAAATGACAAAAACAACATTCATTCATTGTTGGAGGGGTTGTGGAAAGATAAGTAAGTGGAAATATTGTTGATGGGGCTGTGGAGTGGTACAATTATTTTGGAAAGCAAATTTGGAGTTATGTAAATAAAGTGATCAAAATATCCATACTTTTTGAACCAGAGACTCCATTACTGGGCTTATGCCCTAAAGAAACCATTGAAAAGAAAAAAGTCTCCATATGTTCCAAAATATTTAGAGCAGCGCTTTTTGTGACAGCTAAGAAGTAAATGCAAAGTAGATGCTCATTTATTGGGGAATGTATAAACAAATTGTGGTACATGAATGTAATGACATATGACTGTACTGTAAGAAATGATGTGCGTGCTGAAGAGAGAGAAGCCTGCGAAGAGCTACATGAACTAATGTCTGCAGAGTAAAGTCAAGAGAGCCAAGAAAACAATATACACAATGACTACAACAATATACATAGAAATAACATCGGACCAAAAAAATTAAGAGTGAATGTAGATAAAATAAGATTCAGATTAAAGCATTTTGAGCACCAATGTTAAGATAGCTATGGCAGAGAGCCGATTTAAATATTTGACTTTTCTTTCACTCTAATGTCTATTTTTTCCTTGGCACGTGCTTACTACCCTGTATTTCTGTCCAATTGCCTCACTTTCTATATTTGTTACTACCTTGGATGCCTTCATGTTCTAGCTACACCAATAAGGCATCTTCATCAAATAGTAAATGACAGGAGTTGGTGATTAAGGAAGGGGAAAAAAAGAAAATGACAGGAAGCTGGGAAAACCTGGCTGGGCTAAAGGGAAAGACTATTATAGCCATCAAACATTCTTAAGTCTCATTATATCCTCAGCAGCAGAATTGTTGCTGGGAAAACAACATGGCACCCAGACCATTCCTGAATGGCCCTGCAAGGCTGTGTTCTGGTTAATGCATTAAAATTATTCAACTTCATCTCTGGGCCCCAAGTTCATCCTGGGGTGATTTTTGGCAGACCAAATGTTAGGCAAGATGCATCTAGCTGGATTCCTGCATGATTCCTCCCCCTGCCCTCTAAGGATCCCAAAGACCCTGCAGAAATGCACACTGAACAAGGCATGGGGGTTTTGAGGGTCATTTTCTCACTTCTCTGTTATGCAGAGTTGCCGTGTTGGATAAAGTGACAGAATTCTTGTTATGTATGGGGAAGCTGCTTATTTCTACTAGCATGGGTAAGTAATCTACAGATAGAGGGAACGGGAGTGCTTTGTGAAGCAGCCTTGATATAAAAAGTGATATCCCCATGCAAATGAATTATAACCTTCTTCCTGTTTTAATAGGTATCCTGGGCTTTCTGTTCTTCACAAAAAAACTCCCGGTCACACCACCAACACTGAATTATTACTGGGTGCCTCTGTTGGTAAGGAAGGGCTCCATCCTGGTTGCACACCCTGGAGCTTTTTAGAATGGGAGGCAGGGTGGGGCATGGGGAAGGGTTTGGCATCCAAGGACCTGGCTTCAGAGCCCACATGGTCACTGCAGCCTTACTGTCTGGGTCACCTTGACTAAGTACATCACTTCACCTTCTGGGATTCACTTTGTTCATGTCAAATTAAAGGGTTGGGATGGGGGTGACCTTTGAGTTCCATCCATCTCTTGATCTGTGAGCCTATGATTGTATGATGATGAAACAAGAGATGGGACTCCATCGCCTCTGAGTGACCTTCCAACTCGAATCCATGACTCTGATCCTAGAGCTTTCCATGAAGGTTAAATTAATGAGTTTATAGTGGCATGTGCATGAAGAATTGTTGCTTTAATGCTGTCTGAGGCATGGGACCTTCAGTAGGCTAATAACTAAGGAATAGCTTCAAAGCTAGTGCCCTTCCCCTGGTTACAGTTAGGTTTAGGGCAGAGGATGGGAAGGAATCATGGCTGATAGCTGCTAATTGGCAGCCCAGAAACAGAACTGGACCCTATTTTTCATTGTTACTATAGCCTGAGTATATATGTGTGTATTGGAGATGGGGATAGTGGTGGTGGCAGTAATCAGGAGATCTCAAGATTAGTGGTCTAAAACCGAAAGGGACCTTCAAGGTCCTATAGTCTAACCCCATCATTAATCAATCAATTGGTATTTAGTGAACATCTACTATGTACCAGATATGGCAAAATACTGGTAACATAAAGACAACATTTTGCAAGAGATTCCCTGCCCACATTGAGCTTCCATTCTAATAGGAGAGAGAAGGTTGGACTCAGTGTCCTTAGGTCTTTTTTAGCTCTAAACATTTGGGGATTATATATATATATGTATGTATGTATGTATATGTATATATATTTACCCACATATATGTGTGTGTGCATACATACATATATGTGTGTGTGTACAGAAAGAGAGATAGACAAAGAGAGATGCCTATTATCTAGATATCCATATCTCTCTGTAAGTGTGTGTGTATATATATGTGTGTGTGTGTATGTGTATACACAAGACATACACAAATAAAAAAACCAAGGTGATCTTGGAGGCACTAGTGTAGATGGGTGCTTGGGGTTAGGATCACATATAAGAAGGCCAGGAGAGGTTCAGTCACTTGTCCGAGGTTCCATGTTTAGTAAGAGGCAGAGAGGAAAGTCCAACTTAGGCTGTGTGCCTAAAGGAAACAATGTGGTATTGTGGAAAGAATACAGACTCTGGAATCAGAGAACCTGGGTTCAAATCTTCCCTCTGATGCTTACTGCATGTGAATCTAATCACATCATGGAACCTTTTGGGCCTCAGTTTCCTCCTTTGTAAAACAATGGGGTTGGTCTAGATGGCTTCTGAAGTCCCTTCCAGCTCCAGATCAGGGATCTGAAACCCAAGGTTCTTTGCATTTTACCACACATCGACTCCTCTACCCCATCCAACCAGCGACACAACTCCAGAGATGGGAGCCACCCTCTCCCAGAAGAATGTCAACATGCCAATGGTTTCACCCAGAACAGAAATCCATTATGCTGCTCTCACCTCTCCTCTCCATGAAAGGATGAATGACACCTCCCACGAGAGTCCATCCTTCAATCACATTGTCTTGGGGACAGTATCAGACATTGAAACCCAATCCTTAGAAGGCATGAAGGGCTGACTAACCTTGTCAGACAGCCTCCATCACAGAAACATTTCCAACGGGCACATCCATACTCAATAGAGTTTCCAAAAGTCTCAGACAAATAATCACCACCTGTAAGATCATGACTGGGGGACTGGCCCTGTGCAATCCTGTTCCCACCCTATATGAGGAAATGTTGCTTTGGTTTTCATCCTGACAACTTTGTCATTATCCTTAAAATGTTTTGAAGATAAAATCATATTAAGGTTATTTTCTTGGTCTGAAACTTAGAACAAAAGCCTCACTCTTTGTCTGAAAGAGACCTTTAACGAGGGGCTCTCAGCCTTTTTTGCTCACAGCATAGTATTCTTTGCCATGAGGAAGGCACGTTGAATTTTTTAATTTGATATATTTTTTTTCAGGTAACAAAATTCTGTTTTTTTTTCTTTTTTCATTTTATCTTCCATTAGAAAAGGGGAAAAAATCCTAAATTCCTTACAACAAATATGCATATAGTCAATCAAAACAAATTTCCACATTGACCATGTCAAAAAAAAAAAGTTTTAATCTCCACCCTGAATCTATTACCATTTTGTCAGAAGGTAGGTGACATGTTTAATCTTTGGTCCTCTGGACTGCTGGTTGGTTATTGCTTTGCTCACAGTTCTTGGCATCATTCAAAGCTATTTGTCTTGAGAAGGTCGTTGTTATTGTGTAAATTGTTCTCCTGGTCTGTTCCCTTCACTCTGCATCAGTTCATATAAGTCTTCTCATTTTTCTCTGATACCACTCCCTTCATCTTTTCTTAGAGCACACTAGGATTCCATCACCTTTCTACCGCACAACTTGTTCAGTCATTCCCCAATTGATAGGTACCCCTTTAGCCTCCAGTTCTTTGAGGCACACTAAAGCTAAGTTCCAACACCCCAGGCAAGTTCAGAGACTCACACATGTGCAGTCTTTGTTCAATAACAACAATCATTTCATTGCTTCCTTTTCAAGTTCAAAGCCTGAAGTGTTTGGAGGTTACTGTGTCTATGTAAGAGGCATTTATGGTTGATTTTAAGAATATTATACTTAAGTATGCAATGCATGCTACATATATAAAATCTACTAAAATAATTACAATTTTTCTTCCATCTGGAATGATATAATGACCAACATTTCCCAACATACCAGGTAGAACTTGTAGCACACACTTTTATGGTCACAGCTGTAGGCTGACTCTACAAACTTTTTGTTTTTTTCTCATTCACTCTTGTGATGAGTTAAGGGATTCATTCATTCATTCATTGAAATGACTGGTTTCTCTGAATATTTTTACTTCATTGACCGAATCTATTTAATAGGATCATAGACTTAGACTTGGAAGGGAAATTGGAGATTATCTATTCCAGCTCCTTCAATTAATAGCTGCGAAAGTGGAGGCAGAAAGATGCTATGTGACTCTCTAAGGTTACATGGGCAGTATGTAGTTGTGGCAGGATTTGAACCCAAGTGTTGTGATTCCGAAGCCAGCAATCTTTTCATTAGACAATTCTGCATTGGTATTATGTAGACAACAGTGCACGTGCTGAGCTCATTAGAGTAGGTCATAATTCACTAGAATTGACTGTGATGTGCTCTACCATTCTTGACTTTGAAGGAACACGGCTCCTAGGCAGTTAGGTGGCACCATAGTGGCTAGAGTGCTGGAGTTGGAGTCAGGAAGAACTGAATTCAGATCCAGCCTTAGACTTTTATTAGCTGTGTGATCCTGAGCATGTTACTTAACCTCTCTCAGACTCAGTTTCCTCACCTGTAAAATAAGGATAATAAGGATAATAATAACACCTACTTCAGTTGTTTATCGTGAGAACAAAATGAGATAATATGTGAACATGTAAAGGGGTTTTTCATACCTTAAAGCACTCCACACACACACACACACACACACACAGACACACACACACACACAGACACACACACACAGACACACACACACAGACACACACACACACAGACACACACACACACACACACAGACACACACACACAGACACACACACGTGCACACTTTCCAATTAGCCTTCCTGTTCCCTGCACTTCCAAAGCTAGGGTCCATACACAGTCACCAGGCTCATGTTGCCTGGAGTTCAAAGGCTATGTTAGAAGCTGAGTCCAATGCTCAGACAGCCAGAGTGCCCTTGCAATTTTTTAGATTTGGCTTGACAATCCTAATGTAACATTTTAAAGTACTGTTGATATTTCATCATTTCTAACATGCACACAGACACACACACACACACACACACACACACACACACATCAGAAAGGGTCCCTTTTCCCTATCTGTAATTGCAAAATCCACCAGCTGACTAGCAGGAGACACACCTTCTTTGGCATTTTCTAATCCTACATGGTTAATCTAATGCCAAACTAATAAAAGGGCCTATCTTCGCTTCTCTCTTCTTCTCCAACAATCAATAGTGTTACTATTTTCCCCTCTAGGAGGCAGTGTGGTACAGTGGAAAGACCACTGGATTTAGACTCAGCATCTGAGTTCAAATCCCAGCTCCGCCAATTATTGTCTAAATGACCTTGGACAAATCACTTACTTACCATGGGCCACAATTTTCTTCTCTATAAAATGAAGTAGCCTTGACCAGATGTCCTCTAAGGCCCTGCATCTCTGATTCTAGATGTTCTGATCTTATTCCTGACTTATTACATGACCTAAAAGTGGAACAGTATTCTTTGGAGAAAAAATATGCTGAAACAAGAGAGGACTGAGACCAGTGACTTCTGAGTGAGTTCCGCAAAACCTGTGCTCAGATATGTGAGAATGAATAGTATCCTAATAAATAGTATCTGAAAGCCCAGTGGAAGCAATGTGAATAGACAAGAAAATAAACGGCTTCCTCCAGGAAATGAAGTTTTCCTGAGAATCTCGGGACAAAACAAGCCAGGAAACTCATTGTTAAATCTTTTGTCCCACTATGTTGTAAGTAGGGAGTAATTGAATCTTTGAGATCCTAATCACATCAAAGTATCATATGCGGAATTCATTCGGTCCTTCGTTGTCTTCTGTATGCCAGTCATTGAGTGAGGGGCTGGACATACAGAGGCAAAATTGAAACAGGCCCTGTCCTCAAAGGGCTTCCATTCTATTAGGACTGTACTAAACAATGCATATTTAAATATATAAAATATATACTATATACATACACGCATAAGGTTATATGGGAGATAAAAACAAGTGAGGGGAATCAGAAAAGACTTCATATAGATGCCAAAGCTGAGACTTCAATGAATGAATGAAAATCATTGATTACCTGCTTCCAGGGATTTATTCTGATACATAGTATATTGAACCTTTCCTATTTGCTTCCTGGGTCAGTCTCAATGATGCATTTCCCCCTCTGTCTGTCTGCTTCCAGATGATAATTTTTGGGTCTTACCTCATTGCCCATGGGTTCTTCAGTGTCTTTGCAATGTGTGTCGATACCCTTTTCCTCTGCTTCTGTAAGTATTTAGCACCTGCCTCTTTGCAGTTCGGATTGGGACGCAGCTGGGGAGCCATTGAATGGTGGCGAGAATATGGCCAGCCGAGTCCTTGGCTGGCAGCTTACGGATTTGCCACGACCTGACTACAAGACCAAAATGATGTTTTGGCTAGAATGGGAAATTGCTTAGCAGAGTTTCTTTCAGCAACAGTAACAACAGCACACAGGAGCTTTGCAAAGTGCTGCCATGACTCTTGGTTTCCCTGGGATTAGACCAGCTCAGACGTTCCATTGTATTTTTAAAAAATGTCTTCCAATGTATGCCAATAGATGACTTTGGCCATCAGGACTGTTCAACAATGGATAGCAGGACTTGCCCTTCCTGCTTTCAGGACAGATTTTCTTTGGGGGAGTCTATGCTAATGTCAGGTTCTCACTGGCTCCAAAGTCACATAGGGCCAGACCTTCCATTGCATCATTCTATCCAAAAAATGTTTCATAGGGAATTGAAGTTGGCTGTGCCACCATGCTGCCAATGATCAATTCCTTAAGGGATCTGGAAGTGCCCTAATATTTCCCAGGTTAGTCATTTACTTTAAAAAAATGGAGGGAAGGGGCAGCTAGGTGGCGCAGTGGATAGAGCACTGGCCCTGAGGTTAGGAGGACCTGAGTTCAAATCCGGCCTCAGACCAAACACTTGACACTTACTAGCTGTGTGACCATGGGCAAGTCACTTAACCCCAATTGCCTAAAAAAAGTAAAAATAAAAATAAATTTTAAAATGGAGGGGAGATCTCAGATAACTATGTTTCTTTTTCATAGGGATAGATGATAGGGATTAAATTTGTGATTTCATTGGCTCAGGGAATTCCCTCTGACAGTGCAGATCATCACCCTCTGAGTGCAACTTAAAGTCTTAGAGTATTACCTAAGGCCCTAAAAGGTTAAGTGAATTATGTAAGGTCAGATAGACAGTGGATGGGGTTCAGGACTTGAACCCAGGTCCTCCTAACTCTGAGACTAACTCTCTATCCACTATGCCATTGTCTCCTTTTTCACAGCATGTCAGAACCACAAACTGAATAAATGTTTTAAATTTTAGCCTCAGAACTTAAGGGCCTCAGGGAACTCCTGCTTGGTCATTTTTGTCAAGTAAAGTTATTCAGCAGAACTAGGAAGGGTCATTCAATTTGGCAAAAGAAAAAATAATTCTTTGGGACACAGTTTTCTGATTTGATCAACTCAACGGACTTCATGGGTAATTAACCTGGTCTTTCCTAAGTTTCAAGGGAAAGGTGTGGTTTGACAGGGCTGTTATGATCAGCAGCATATCAGCTGCTGTTGGTAGTCAGGTGTGTCTAACTCTTCATGACCCCATGGTCCATAAATAACATGCCAGGCCCTTCTCTCCTCCACTATCTCTTAAAGTCTGTCCAAGTTCACATTCATTGTTTCCATATTATCTTTCCATTTCATCCTCTGCCATACCTTTTTCCTTTTGCCTTCAATCTTTCCCAATATCAGAGTCTTTTCCAATGAGTCCTGTCTTTTCAATATGTGGCCAACGTATTTAAGCTTTGGCTTCCAGTGAATACGCTGAATTAATTTCTTTAAACATTGACTGATTTGATCTCCTTAATGTTTAAAGGACTCTCAAAAGTCTTCTCCAACACCATCATTTGAAAGCATCGATTCCGTAGAGCTCACATTTCCTTATGGCCCAACTCTCACAGCTATACATTGCTACTAGAAAAACCATAGCTTTGACTATTTAGACCTTTGTTGGCAAGGTGTTGTCTGTTTTTTAGTCTGCTGTCCAGATTTGCCATAGCTTTTAATTTCATGGCTGCAGTCACCATCTGCAGTGATCCTTGAGCCCAAAAATATAAAATCTGCCACTGCTTCCATATCTTCTTCCCCTATTTACCAGGAAGTGATGGGACCAGGTGCCAAGATCTTAGTTTTTTTTTTTTATGTTAAACTTCAAGCCAGCTTTTATACCCTCCTCTTTCACCTTCAAGAGGCTTCTTAATTACTCTTCACTTTTTTGCCATCAGAGTGGTAGCATCGGCATATCTAAGATTTTTGATATTTCTCCTGGTGACCTCGATTCCAGCTTTTGATTCATTCAGCCCGACATTTCCCATGATGCACTCTCCATTTAGGTTAAATAAAGTGACAACATACCACCCTGTTGTACTCCTCTTCCAATCTTAAACCAAACAGTTGTTCCACAGTTCAAACTGTTGCTTCTTAGCCCACATATAGGTTCCTCAGGAGACCAGTAAGATGATCTGGTACTCCCATCTTTTTGAGGACTTGTCACATTTTGTTGTGATCTGCACAAAGGCCTTAGTATAGCCAATGAAGCAGAAGCAGATATTTCTTCTGGCACTCTCTTGCTTTCTCCATAATCCAACAAGTGTTGGCAATTTGGTCTCTAGTTCCTCTGCCTCTTCAAAAAATCAGCCTACTCTTCTGGTAATTGTTGATTCACATGTTGCTGAAACTTAGCTTGCAGAATCTTAAGTATAACCTTGCTGGTGTGTGAAATGAGTACAATTGTTCTATAATTTGAACATTTCTTGGCATTGCCCTTCTTTAGGATTGGGATATAAACTGATCTTTTTCAATACAGTGGCCACTGTTTAGTTTTCACAGGGCATATTGGGTGTAGCACTTTAACAGCACCACCTTTTTGGATTTTAAATAGCTTAACTGGAATTCTGTCGCCTCCACCAACTTTAGTGTGAGCGATGCTTCCTAAAGCCCACTTGATTTCATTCTCCAGGATGGCTGGCTCTAGATCAGTAATCATACCATCATAGTTACTGGTGATGTTAAGATCATTCTTGTATAGTTCTTTTTTGTATTCTTGACAGCTCTTCTTAGTTGCTGCTTCTGTTAAATCCCTACCATTTTTGTCTTTTATGATGTCTATGCTTTGCATGAAATAGTCCCCTGATATCTCTAATTTTCTTGAAGAGCTCTGTCTTTCTCATTCTATTGTTTTCTTCTATTTTTTTGCATTTCTCATTGCAGAAAACCTTCTTATCTCTGCTTGCTATTCTCTGGAATTCTGCATTCAGTTGTGTATGCCTTTCCCTTTTTTCTTTACCTTTCACTTTCCTTCACATATCAGAGAGTGACTCAAAGACTCATCTTTTCTTCTTTGGAAGTGATCCCTGAGTTCAGCCCATGCTGGATGGAGAGAGGAATAGAGTTGAGTCATTGCCATGGAATGAATTAATATGTAAAGAAATGGCTTGACCTTTCTTTTCCATTATATGCATCTGTCCATCAACCTAGGGATCCAGAAGCCAGGAATTTAGAAGTCCTGAGCTCAGTTGTGGATTCTTCCTTTGAATAGCTATGTATTTGAACTTGGACTTGCTTATTCTGTTCATTTTGCCTTAGTTTACAGTTAGCACACCAGCATTTGCTTATTAGGGAAGTGTAGTTGTAGCCAAGGAAAGCCAGTCATTCGATAAGCACTCATTTTGTGGTAGGCACTGAATTAAGTTCTGGGAATACAAAGAAAGACAAAAGTAAAGCTTTTGCCCTCAAGGACCATGTATTATGATGGGCAAAGTTGCTGATCAAATTTATGGCCAGAGGCAGAAAAAACCATGGCTACCAGAGGAAGGATACCTAAACTATGGACTATCCAAGTCCTCTCTTCCCAAGTCTGAGTCAGGAATAGAATGAGCCTTTGCCTCATTCCAGGCCCAGCTTGTTAAGTGTGGCTTCTCTCTAAAGCATAGCAGCAAACGTTTAAAGACTTACGCCTCTGGAACCCTCTTTGGTAGACTAGAATATTTAGTGTGGGCAATGAGAATTGCCTTCTCACTCCCTCACCCTGACTCCTCTTCCTCCTGCCATCTTTATTACTGAAATGTCAACTCCACAGAAAGCCAGATAGAATTCCAGCTTCAATCTCCTCTTGGTGCTGAATATGAACGGCTTTCTTTTAGAGACTCTTTTCTTGAAAAATAAAGAACATGGTAGACTAGACTGGGTTTCTCTTCCCTACACCAGGTGTTCCTACAGGCACTTGGAAATGACCGCTTGTAGACTGTCTTCCAGGCCAAATCCTGATTATATGAGTCTGCCTTGTTTTTATCTCCTTTGCTGCCAAAAAAAATTATGGGCAGTTTCAAAAATTCGATCTATTTGAAGACATTTCTTCGCCCCCTTCGAGCTACTGGGCCAATACCCTATAAGACATCTACGCCTTCCTGCCCCCAGCCCTTGCCACACACACGCTCCCGGGGATGTCAGCATCTTCAAGAATTTGGATGCTGCTCGGAGGAGAAGTGTGTGCCAGTCAGTGGAGATGAGTGCCCAAGCAGGCAGAACCCCGTTTGGCTAATGGTATGCTAAGGAAAGAAAGTGAGAGCAACTGCATGACCCACGAGAAAGAACAAATTCGGCTTGTGTCCTTCGCATTAGAGGAAGGTCATTGACAGACTCAAAAATGTAGTTTGAATAGCTATTATAATCGTTGTCATATTTAAATATTCAAATAATATTTGAATAGCTATTCTAATTGCTATAATAGCCATTAATAATCATTGAAAGGCAGCTTGGCGCAGTGGGTGAAGGGCTAGCTATTGGGGTTAGAGAAACCTGGGTTCCAATTCTGCCTCAGACACACACTGACCCTGGACAAGTCACTAACCTCTTGGTGCCCCCTTATCATCTAGTATGAGAAGCTGTAGAGAGCTGCCCACTTGAATTCTGGGAGAGAGTTTCTTCACTAGGAGTTTCTTATGCTGGGGAAGTCACAGATGTGGTAAAAAAAATCACCAACATAATAACTAATAATAATAGCCAACATTAATATGGTGCTTCTTGTGTGCCAGGCACTGTGCGAAGTACTTTACAAATGTGGTCTCATTGGATTCCCCAGCAACCCTGAGAGGTAGGTGTTATTATTACTGCCACTTTACTGCTGAGGAAAATGAGGTAGGCAAAAGTTAAGTGACTTGTCCAGGGTCACACATCTGGTAAGTGTCTGAAGCCGGCTTTGAACTCTAGTCTTCCTGACTTCAGGTCTAGAATTCTATTTACTGCACTACCCAACTAGCTGAGCTCTTATAGCCCTAGCCCTCCCCCACCCCCAGAAACCCAAGCATTGTCATGGGGAAAGGGAGGACTTGGGAAAATTGTCCAAATGACACCGAAGAGACTCAGTGAACTAACTTTGATGAAACCGTCTTGTCTTTAACTTTCTAACATTGGTCTCTCTTCATTTTCCCCTGTTTTATTCTTGGGTTTAAAAAACATCCTTATGACTGTTTGCTGCTGTTTGCTGCACATCCAGGTGAAGATCTGGAGAGAAATGATGGAAGCCTAGAGAAACCTTACTACATGTCCCCTGAGCTGCTTCATATTATGGGCAAGAAGCAAGCCAAGAGAAAAGCATAGAAGCTTCCACGCAGGGCTACCCACTCCCAAGGAGACCTTGAACAAGTATGCCAGCCCAAATTTAGAAACCATGCTTTGGAGTGATGGGCAGAGAGAGCCTGGCTCTTTATGCTGAGGAGACGGGAAGCTGGTGACAGCAGCCACTGGGGAAAGAAGAGTCTTCCTGTGAGGCTGCTGCCCCTCCTGGGGATCAAGGGGTAAACGCCAAGCATTTTTTAAAAATAAAAAAAAAAAACAAACTCTAGCTTAAAGTTTTAATAACTTCTCTAACTCAGTTGGCTGTTGCCCTTTAGTGTACCTTTGATAATCTCTCTCTCTCTCTCTCTCTCTCTCTCTCTTTCTCTCTCTCTCTGTCTCTCTCTTTCTCTCTCTCTCCCTCTCTCTTTTAATAAGTATATTTGTAAAGGATATTCAGGCAATTTCTGAAAGCACTACAAATGTTGAACCAATTAGCCATAAAAAGATCAACTTCTAGTTAACCAGCATATGGTACAAAATGTACAAACGTGGCCCGATGGCCGTGTTATTACCATCCAAGCTGGCCGATTGTCCTCTTTAAATTGTGATAGAATTATGTGGTTATGAAAGTCCATTTTAGTAAGATACTCAAGTCTGCAAAAATCCTGTCAATGTCAAATGTGATAGAGCTGTCCCCTCGAGGATTACTGAAAACTGCTTAGGTGAAACCTGCTCTGAGCCCCTTCTGAGGCATCAAAGCTCTGTTCATGGCCACCTTGGGCATGGGGCAACAGATTCCAGTGTCATTCTCTTTGGGGCAAAGCTGATATTGCCGTGTATGTCTCCTGGAACTCTCTCTGTGTGTCCAGCACTGACTTCCTCTTTCTGCCTGGGAGAAGACAGTCACAAACGACATGTCTTCTCACTCACACTTCCGTAGTTCTTCACTGGGGCACCGTCTGTGCCTTAGTTCCACCTTATGTTGAGGTTGAAACCAACCTTCCCCTCTCCTTTCCCAAGCTTACCTTTAAGGAAGATGCTGCTTCTGGCCCTGCGTTAACTCCTTTCTCCCTCTTTGTTAATGGCCATGGAAGGCTTCCTGAAATGAAGCTTTCTTTCCCTCCAGGGCCTGGGAGAACAGTTACTTCCATACTCCTCCCTGCTGATCTGAGGGACAGTGGCTGGAATCTCATAATCAAACCTGGCTGTTCCCTTGTTCATTTTCTGAAAGTAAGAGGCTGTGATGTGGCCACCAGGGTTAACATGGGGTGTAGCAAGGTGCAAACAATTGGTGTCCTCTTGGCTGTTAAACTAGATTCATAAGGACATTATGCATGTTAGTTGAACAAAAAAACCTGTGGATCTAAATTTGGGCCCAATCCCACTTCCACAAAGAGAACTAAAAAAGTAGTATCTCTGTTGATTTACAAACTAATTTAAATACTAATAAAGCAAAATTGATCCTGAAATATGTATGACCCAAGCTAGAGTCTTAGCTGACTGAGGCTCCAGGGCCCATCCCAACTTCCCTTGTTGGGGTTCTAGGCCACTTCCTTTCCTCAAAGACCATCTTGGCTGCCTGGCATCCCTAACCACCACAGCACCGAATGACTGTGGGGAAGAACTGTGATTTAGGGACATTAAGGGTCTATCATACGGCAGAGAAGGGTAGAACCATCACTAGACAGGTGTGCGTTTGAGAAGAGGGCTCATACCCTCAACTTGCTTGAGGGAAAGCAGCAGTGGAGACTGAGGCAGAATCAGGCTACTGCTGGGGAGAGTTCCCAGAGGAAATCAGGGAGTGAGCCCCTCCAGGCGAGGGGGGAACTCACCTGGGGCTCAGCCTCCAAGGAGTGTGTGTAGGGCTGGGTGGGGCAGGGTAACCAGCAGTTAGCTTCCAATTTTAACTAATTATTCTTGCTAACAGGTGCTAAATTCAATTGTTGCTATATTGCCAAAGAGTTGCAGGTGCCATCAGAATTTTCTGAATTGAGCACCCTAAGGCAAAGCTCAGGTTGCCTTGCCTAGTTCCAACTCTGCTCCTGGTCACCACAGGAAATCCGTCTTCGAGGTGCTACAGCCGAAGACAATGCTTCTTTTTCCGAAATGATCTTTAACTTACTGCCTTGAGAAAGAAGTGGGCTTCATCTCTATCAAACGGGTCCTGGTAATTCCCTAGAGTGAGGGAGTGAGGGAGTGAGGGAGGGTCTTACTCCTTCCCCTTCTTCTTAGACTAGGGGGGAGGCAGTTTAGGAAAGAGCATTGGCTCTGGTGAAAGTGGGACACAGGGACGTTGGGTGAACCAGCTGAATTCTCCTCCTCACCTCCTGGAAAATGAGGCTATGTCCAGGTACCTTCCGGCTCTGGTTCTATGATGGCTCCAAGCTTGTTTTGTTTCTCCTCTATATCACCTGCCATCTGGGTCACCTCTGGATGAGGACTTTGCTTCTCTGGGCCCATAGAAACAACAGGGCTCAACAGTCACTATAGAAGGGCCCTTCCAGCTCCACAACGCTCTGGTTTTTCCAGTCCAGGGGCCAAGTTGATTCAATCAGAAGCCTAGTGGAATGATTATAGGCTCTCTTCAGCTACACGCATCTGTGAGGGATCCTGCCTCTGGATGAGTAGTCAGAAGGATCATGAGGGTAGGAGAAAGACAAGGTCAAGAGGTGAGAAATCAATGAGCTGTTTGCCCATCCCTCACAGTCTCCATCAGTGGGAGTGGGAGGAAAGCAACTGCAAATAGCAGAAGATGTGCAAAGTAGCTGCTCCTTCCAAGGCTGGGACACTGTCAGTGCTGGGGGGGTTGGGGGTGGGGGTGGTCCCAGGAGCTTTTGATTAAGGCATGTCTACTGATTAAACTGATACTTAAGAAGTCTTCAACCAAGAGAGAAATCCTAGAGGGAGGTACACATTGCACTTGGCGAAGTTTCCTAAGGATATACACAGAGCGAGTAAGAATGTTTTTTTCTCAATCATAGAAATAATAAAAAAAGATATGATGTGGTTAAATATTTCTTAGCCACTAACCTATGCACTTTGGAGAAGGATTTCTCAGTATAAAAGTTTCAACTTAATTGGGGCTGTTCCTATTCAAAAAGAAATTGTCCTTTGCTAATCATTTCTTTGTACAAATGAAACATGCAGAATATAAATGAACCTCTTTGAGAAGAAAATTTAGAAGCCATTTTCTTAATGAAGCAATTAAGGTAATAACTGTGGAAAAAATAAAAAGGAATACCAATATTACTTACAACCTAGATCTGTCAAGGAACTCGAAGACTTACAATTTTGCAAATCATTTTTAAAAATATTATGCTATTGCAACTGACGTCAGAAAAACAAAGAGTTTTTTTTATATCAATTCTGGTTGTTTTAGAAGTAAATCTGAAAGATCAGAATACTGTCCTTAAAAAAAAATCATCATTTGAAAGTGACTGCAGAGGTTCCTGATGAGGCCTTTGCTGTTTTATCATCAGGTTAAATTTGGTTTCCCCATGCAACTGAGGCAAAAGAAATGTTGGCAGAATCTGCCCCTGGTATGTCCAGGGAGATCCCATTCTGTAGATAGCCTAACAAAGGGCTGAGGGTTTTCTCATACCTATGTTTACACTATGTTGATGCCAAAATTCACTCTTCTCAATAAAAGCAAAGGCAGCTGGAGCTGTGAGGCTGCTGTGGAAGAAGGGGACAGCAGGTGGCAACCGTCCCCCACTGATGCTTTGCCATTGACTCAGTGCCATTCTCCCCCTAGTGGAAGATGTAGAAAGAAACTGGTTCTACCAAAAGACCCTATTACGTGAAGATTCTGAACAAGCAAAATGTACAGACTAAGAAGCAATAGAAATGCGGAACTGGAGTCACCCCTTGGTGCTGGGAGATGAAATTCTTCTTTGCTTTGTACACGGGAAACCCGTTTTCTTGGAAGCATTGGGTCTGTGCCACTGGTTGATCACTTGTGGACTTTTATTTGCATGTTTTATACCAAAGCTTACATTGTGATATGTAAAGCCATTAGAAGTCACAAAGGAATTGTTAAGGAAATGGGAACATTTTATACTAAAATATTTTGTTTGTTTGTGGTTATCTTTTCATTCTGGTAGTGTGGATGTTTTGAATCAGATTGTGAAGATGCTAAGCATTCTGTTACATGGTTTTTTAAAATCTTATTTGTAAATGGTTGATCCAGATGTAGAAAAATGCAAAACACATCACCCTACCTTTTGGGGAGGAAATGCTATGAGACGTAAAATGAAGTAAGTTTTTGAAGCCCTTCCGCACTCTCATCCCCCACTGAATAAGAACAAAAAAATGATGCCCCTTACCCCCATCCACTGATTGTTCTCTCTAGAGGAGTGTAGAATGTTTCCTAATAGATGAGTTGCCAGTCATAAGACCAGCCTTCACTGCTTCTTCCTCTCTGACAAAGTGCCTTACCAGCTGCCGAAGATTAGCCAGCTTTTATGGGCAAGTTTACAAACGTTGTGAAAAATGCAAAAATTGCAATGAGTAGTGATTTAAAAAAAAAAAAAGGAAGCCTTCTTTTTTCTTTTTGATCATTGGTTGAAGATCAATTACCATTTCACTAGATTTGAAATTGTCACATGGTGCAGAATGCTGTGGGGCATAGATAGTTTTCCTTATGCGGAATGGACGAACATGAATGTGTACTCTTTAAAGAAAAGAGGTCCAAAACAATCTTTTTGTTTTTGTTTGTTTGTCTGAAAAAAAAGGAGAGATGAGTTCAAGATGCCAGGATTTTTGTTCTGTGATTTGTTTGTTTGTTTATGTTTTTTGGTAGTAGTTGTACTACACCTCTGAAAACACACTAGGTCTAATACTGAGTTTCTCAATATGCTACTGAAATCAGAAAGGAAAACTTCTAGGATCTTAAAGGGAAACTTTACCCCGGAAATGCCATGCTCCCTTTGAAAGAATCATTTCTTGTCAGAAAACTGTGTTTTCTAGACAGCCTTTCCTTTTCTAACTTTTGATATGAGTAATCAGTTTACTTGTACTCTGTTGTTAATATGGATTGTGTTGAGACAAGCAGGAATGTTGTTTCTAATTCAGATTAAAATAATTTTACTGGTACTACTAACAATAGGAAAGTGAATTCCATCTGTTATATTCCATCTGTTATTTCTTGTCATAAGAAGGGTCCGTAAAACATTTGTCCTAAATAAATACTTGTCAATCATATGGTAATTTATGAAGGTTTTGG